CGATTATCTCATGATGGCCACGCAACCTCCCTTCCTCCACTTTGCCATTACACAACCCCATTGAGTCTTATTGCTTAATTAGCTGCTGGATGAAACACTTGTTCTATTGCCATCAACTGAATGTAATTGCCTAGACTTGAATTTCTAGGAAAAGAAAAGCAGGAAAATATAAATGTGAGACGGGAGGAAGAGAGGGGGAAAATATAATGACTCCATACCTCTATTTTCTTTGATTAATCACGAAAAGAAATATGCCATTAAGGGATTAAAGCAAAGCCATTTTACTCCTGCTGAGCATGTTCGGCGGTTTTAAAATTATTTTATGATCCTGATCAATGTAATTAATGGGAATGACTGTTAATTAGTTACACTAGCAGGTGGGCCATGAAAATACTATAGACTAACAGGCAATGTAGGGTTTTATTTGGGAAGGGAAGGTGGCGTAGAGTTGACAGGAGCAGTGCTTGGCGGCGACTTCTGAGTTGTGTACTTTTGCCTTGGAAAACACTTTGTGCTAGCTGTTTAGAGAATTACGAGCGGGAGAAAAACATACTATAATTTTCCTTTATATGTTTTCTTTCCTCTTTTTAAAGAGAAATCCTTCCATCAGTTCCCAGACTCAAATCTTTGATCAGGAAAGGAGATCTGTTATTCCAAAGTAATGGGAGCTTCACAAACAACATCTTGTTAATTTAGCCAATCTCAGCTGGCCCTTTCTAGTTTTCCCAGCACCTCAGGAGAAAGGTTTTTGAAAAGAAAACACCCCTTGGGATCCAACTTGAGACAGACACTAAAAGTGTTAACTGCTTTCTGGTGTTGTGTACCTAATTAGCAACACTGAGAATTTAATAGCGGTTGTCAATGTCATGGGGTTGACGTAGTACCCTAAGGGATGAGGGTAGATACAGAGTGAGTGAGAGTTTATATTTTCTCTGTGTGTGCATCTACCCAGAAAGACAAAGAAGGAACACTTCAAAATCCTTTGTGCTGGGAAGCATATGTAACAATTCATTTGCCATCAGCATCAAGCTTCTAGAACTTATTTTAAAAGCAGCCCACCGTCCTGACCCATATCTTCTCCCTTGAGTGCCCTTGTTCCCATACTCCCTTGTATAAGATTGCACGATGTTGACAAAGTCTCACATATAATGACCGAAGGAGAGTCCTGATGGCTTTGTAAGACTCGAGATCTATCTAGTCCACCATTCCTTTTTCTTACAGCAGACAGCCTCTGGGGAGTGCTCAAGAAGCCAATGACCCTCTCTTTGTGTTGCAAGCAGCATTTTCACAGCACAGGTCTGCCCAGGTTAGGATCCAAACCAAACATAAGCTGGCTAGGTGGTTTGGTGCATCAAATAAATTGAATTATTGGGAAAGGGCTTTTGGAATAGGGGGAGGTGTACCAGACAGACATGAGCCCTGCACTTTGTCCAGCCCTGCTGCATAATATAATGGATTGTTATGAAAGGGCAGCTTTTCATTATTTTTCTCTTAAAAATTGACTTTCTGGTTACCCTTACCAGTTAAATGACACATGAACCACAACAGTCCTCTCATATAAATCAGAATGGATTAGAGGAACTCAAACATTGAACTTTCTTTGATATCTCCTTTAGCCAAGACAGATGACCTAGCCAGCTGAAAGCAGTCCACCATGGATAATAGTCTCCCAACCATTCTAATTATCTTGGACTTTATCTGGATTTTGGATCTGAATTATTTGGATGTTCCAGGCTAGAATCTGGTTGGTGATGATGACAACTACAGGTTGAGTCACCTTTATCCAGAATTCCAAACTCCAAAAAGCTCCAAACTGGAACATTACAGAGGGTCACAGCTTACCTCTGCAGGAAGGTATAACTATCTCAAGACAATTCCAAATGTGGTACCAATTATTATTTTTGCAAGGTTTTATAACTGCAGTAAATGTTGAGGACTGCAACAAATATTTGTGGGAAAGAACCTTTTTGTACATTTTTGGCACCTGTTTGCAGCTTGTACTTCACCAATTTGCTGCTGCTCTGGGGAGGGAGAAGGAAAATCATCCCTGTTGCCAAGGCAACTGGGTCAACATTCCCCCAGACTGAGATATAAAGTACATCCAAATGTGCAATTCATTGAAAGTCATAAGGGAAAGGGATTCACTTTCAGGCAGGGAACTGGAAAGAAATGCATGTCTTAGTGTGCACTTGTGTTAGGGAAGTGTCAGGCTGGTTGTTCCAGAAAAGATGCTTGTGTTTCCTATGATCTCCAGAAATCATCCCTTTCCAAACAGCGTTGCACCCTTTCATCAAGTGATTCAAACAAAAAATGCTCCAGAGAAGGCTCTCATTTTATGATGGCTGGAGAAACAGTCATAAATCTTTTGCATCCAACTATTTTGGCCCAGCCTGACCATTCCCACATACATAGGGATGCAAAAAGTTCTGTCTCAGCTTTCTTCAAATCTGCTCTGCATTTACTTCCCTTGTGTGTTTCACAACAAGTTGCAAGACTGTGTGTTTTTCCATGTGTATATTACTGCATTCCTCCTTGTATTCACATTTTTTCTGCACTTTACCTAAAGTATACACTCATTGACTGACTAGTGTTTATGAGGAGTTTTTTCCCCTCCAGTTGTACATTCATCTTACAAAAGGTGCACATTTTGGCACTTCATTTCTCCAAAATCCTCCTAAGCCTCAGAAATGTGTGGATCCTTGAAGTTAGAAGCATTTTTTGTTACAGCAAATTCTGGACTTTTAAAATGTTGGCTGGCATTCTGTTACAATCTTGTAAGTTAGGCTTATGACCATATAATTGTTCCTCATTTGCATTTATGATCATGGCACTTATTGCCATCATCATAAATAACCCTGAAATCCAACTGAAAAGCAGTCAGATGTCCCCAGTGATAGAGTTCTATGACACTGGAAAGCAGGGTGCTGCCTGATGATATGACCAATCTCCTAAAGTTAATATCATCCAAGCCATTATATTCCCCATCAGCATGTACAGATGTAAGAGCTGGACAATGAAGAAGGCAGACAGAAAGAGAATCAACTCATTTGAGATGTGATGTTGGAGAAAAGTGCTGAGGGAACTGTGGATGGCCAAGAAGACAAATAAATGGGTCCTAGAACAGATCAAGCCTGAACTCTCTCTGGAAGCCAAGATGATGAAACTGAGGCTCTTGTACTTTGGCCACATCATAGGAAGGCATGAATCACTGGTAAAGACAATAATGCTAGGAAAGATAAAATACAGTAGAAAAGACCATACATCAGATGGATGGACTCAAGGTCATGGGCCTGAATTTACAGGACCTAAGCATAGAAGTGTAGGATAGAGGGTCTTGGAGATGTCTCATGCACAGGGTTGCCATAAGTTGGGGGTGACTCAAGGGCAGCTAACAACAACAACAACTTCCAGCAAACAATTACTTTTAAGGTGGGTTTAAGGGATCAAAGCTAGAGATGGAACATAACTATGATATGGTAATTACACTTTTGATGCAAGATCTCAGCTGTGAATTTTTGTTGAGAACTGAATCCAATGGAGTCCTTTTCCATCCATACCCACGTACTTTATTCTCTCAAGGAGGATGAAAATGCCTAAGAGGACATATAAACGATTCAACTTGCCAACTGCAGAACTGTAACTCTACCCACCTTGACCTGAGTAGATTATGAGAACCACATTGACCCATCCTACTGCAGGCATGAAGGGGGAGAGAGTAAGTGCTAAGTATTAGGTTAAACAAGAAGCCATCTGCCCACACAGTTCTGTCAAGTGTACCTGAAGCAAACGTGGCAAAATCATTCCTGTTTGTTGTCAGTAAAGAGCCTCCTGCTGAGTCTGAGCTAGCGATCAATTTTGAGACATGGCAGGTCAACCTTGAGGTTCTGAACTACATTGTTTGCAGAAGATTTCTAGTTATTAGAGCAAGCAGGGAGGTGAAAGAGAGCTCCTTCGCCTTTGAAACCGGCCAAGATATTAGCAACTATGGAGACCGGGAAAGAAGAGGGACTTTGGCTTAATCTAATCAAATAGTTCATTTCTAGCAGGGATTGGCTTTCTTGATATGTTTGAAGCAGCTGTTGAGGTAAGTCCACAACAGCTTACTCACCCACAGAGATATTCTTAGCCCCTGTGCTCAAACATACCTATACTGCAGCTGAGGAATCTTTTTTCTTTAGCCCAAATTGTCTGATTCTATTTTGGCAATGAGCTTTAGAGCTGTGCTCAAGTATCGGATGGGGCCAAGGGTATAGAAAAGGGTCAAGTCATTGTTCTGTGCCTTCAAATTGTTTCTGAGTGATAGAGAGCCTAGGGCAAAATACCCCAGGGTATTCTTGACAAGATTTATTCAGAAGGGGTTTGCCATTGCCTTCTTCTAAAGGCTGAGAGAGTGTAACTTGCCCAAGGTCACTCTGTGAGTCTCCATGGGCAAGCAAAGATTTAAACCCTGATCCCCAGGGTCCTAGTCCAACACTCAAACTACTAAACCACACTGGCTCCCACAGGGCCAAAGGAAAGTGTAATTCTCACCAATGTAAATATTTTCCAAGCATACAAAACATAGCTGAATTCTCTTCCTGAAAAGCAGGATCTGGAACAGCATCCATGCCTGCAAAACAGTATTTAGGGGTGTAGATATGAGGGCATTGTTCCCTTCAAATAATATTTTCCTTCAGGATCCCAATTTCTAGCATCGTGCTAAACTAAAACTTCATTTGAATATTTAAAAATACAGTATAGGCATCCATAGAAAAGGAACAGGCAAAGATATAAAGGAATATGAATATAGCAGAGTTCCAGTTCCAGGTGTGAATGATTTTTAATGTCTCAGTCTCTTCAGTGTTAGAAATTTGTTGTTGTGTGCGTGAAAGTTGTTTCCAACTTAAGGTAACCCTAACGTGTACTTATCAGAGGACTTTCATGGCAAAATTTCTTCAGAGGAAGATTGCCTTTGAGGATGAGAGAATGTGACTTGCCCAAGGTCAGCCAGAGGGTTTCCATGGCTGAAGAGGGATTCGAACCCTAATCTCCAGAGCAGTAGTCCAATGCTCAAACTACTACACCATGCTGACTCTCTGAATGAAAATTTCCTTTGGGGTCAGCAATCTCATTGGGAAGGGCAATGTTTTCTTTATTTGACCCCATAACTATGCCCCTGAGAAAGTGGAGATGTCCTGTTTTTTTGTTAAATGGTCCAAGCAAATGCTCTATCCAGGTTTGAGAATATTATTAACAAATCAATGAATAAGCAATAACCATTCCACAATAATGCCAATTGTTTGTGCAATATATAACAATGGTATGAAGCTGACTGGGGTGATTTTCAAATGGGGAACATGATACACAACATACCAAATCTAGATATATAACAATTGCTAAGCGATATGGAACCATCATTTGGATCTACCTTGCTAAAAAGGAGTGGGGGAATGGAATGGCTGCATTCACATGAGTGTTCTGAAGGAGTGTGATAAATAATATTCCTTCCCCTCCCCATACTCAACAGAAAAGGGTGTCTTGAGAAACTATGTAAAACAAACCTATGAACTGCATAAAGTATATGCCCTACATGAGAGTGAATAACCAATACTTTCTTGCTCACCCCCTCCTCAAAAAGCAAAGAAAAAAACACCTCTTGTTTTGTTTGAGGAAATCCTTGCTTTTGAACCAAAAAAAAAATTTTTTTTTGTACAAACCAAGCCTGTTTCTGCCAAAAACACCTTCATGTTTTCTTTCTGCCCTCAAATCTCAAAATATATTTTTTTTAAAAAAATGATCCAAATAAATTGTGCAAAATATTTTGCAATCTCAGTCAGTAAAGAGGAAACTTTTAAACAATTTGCCATCCTTGAATGCTAGGATGGAATAAGGAGGAAGAAATAAATATCAGCGGAGATCAAGGCACAGGTTTCATCTCTCCTGCTCCCTCTTTATGTGGGGGAAGAGGAAAGAATCCTAATAAAAGACAGCGAGGCCTTTGAAATAATATTCTCCATGCTTTTCTCTAACCGCTTAATGCCAGTCCCAATGGCCTGCATCCAGATCCTGTGAAGCCAGTCTCAGCAATCTCACCTGCTGACTCTGGCACTTCATAACACATAACACAAGCGTTGATTGGAGCCAAGGGTATGTTGGCCTCTTTGGATGAAAGGAAATTGGTGTCAGCGGTCTCCTGAGCACATTTTAATAATCAGGCTGATCATGGGTACACGGCAGCTGCTCTATTGATGGTGTTAGACAGCAAATAAAGAAAGATGCCAGCAGTGCCCTCAGATCTGACATAACGAGGGAAACATCAGTCATTTGGCTAAAAGGCTCATAAAGGTTCCATCAGCTGCGATACGGAGGATTCCATCCTGTGTGAAGCTAATGAGGAAACGTGGCAGCCTTAGCCATCTCTTTATACAGTAACAAGTTCAGAAAGAGCTGCCTTTCTGACATGAACAAAAATCCAAGATGAGAGGGAGAAAAAAAAACTGGGTTCCCCCCCCCCCCCCCAGGCTGTCAAGGTACTTAGGGATTTTTCCATGGACAGTCTTCTGTCTTTCAATTAATTCTGAGTAAGGAGCTCATTTTGTGTTTTCCAAGTTGTCTAGTTCTGGAAGATCTTGGGTACCTCAAAATGACACCTTGTCCTATTGCGGGATTACCCACATACCCATCTTCAAATAAAAGAGGACCAAAGAGAAAAAAATGCCAGTTCTAATTATTGTAATGTCAAAAGGGTAGCAGTTTGAGGCCCAAGTGCCATGCGATGGGGGAGTTCCCATCACTAGTCCCAACTTCTGCCAACCTAGCAGTTCAAGAACATGCAAATGCAAGTAGATAAATAGGTATCACTTTGGTGGGAAGGTAACAGTGCTCCTTGCAGTCATGTTAGACACATGGCCACCAGAGTCATCTTTGGCCAATGCTGGCTTGGTGATAGAGATGAGCATCACTCCCTATAGTTGGTTATGATTAGACATTCATGTCTTTACCTTTAATTTGTAGTGGCAGATGGACATTTGGACATAGCGACAGCCATTGCAAATTGATCCTCATACCATTGTACAGTTGGTCTTCCGTATCCATTGATTCTTTAAGCATCCACCACTTGAAAATATTTTTAAAAAATTTAACTTCCAAAAAGCAAAGCTTGATTTTGCCATTTTATATAAGGGACACCATTTTACTACACCACTATATTTAAGGGGACGTGAACGTCTATGGATTTTGGGTATCCAATGTAGAAGACTGAGACTAAGGGCACACCTAAATGGGCCAAATAAAACAGTCTCATCTAGTTTTCACAGTGAACTGTCAATCTACAGGACAATTGGGGGCAAATCTGGGCCTTTTCATTGCCTCAGGGCTTTAATCCAGAAGAAAATAAAATCCTGATATTCATGCATGTGTGTGGATCATGCTCCAAAGCAACATCAATGTGAGGCAGAAATATACATATTTACATGCATGAGGTCAGAGAAAATACCACAGAGCAGCTACAACCATGTGCCTATGTAATTTATTGGATTATGGTGTGTTACAAAGAGAGAACTTTGTGGACAGTTCTCCCAAACTTTATGTGTGGACAAGCCTGTAGTAGCTATGTATCAGGGGAAGCTGAAGATAAGCTGGATTTTCTCCTCAGTATAGACAAGCCCTAGGTGACCTGCATGTTTACTCCATCCAACAAAGATAGTGATGTGGAAAAATTGGCTAAGGTATTTGGGCTATATAATTTGCAACACAAATACTGTCAAAAATAATGCACAAGGAATAAAAGGTCACTAATGTTCTTGCACATGCCTTATGGGAACCCACATCAATATGTTACCAGTTCAAATAAGAACAAGGAGCATGGATCATTAATCCATTGTCTTAAGGAAAGTGACAACCTCTCTGTCTGCTGTGTTTGTTTCCTATCCAATATTTGTCATACTTTTTTATTGTTGTATTTTTCAAGATCTCTTAAAAAAATCTGACCAGGTCTTAAGAAATTTATTCAGTTAATTCCCTATACTGCTGGAAAATGCAGCTCTTTCCCAACTAAGGGCATTCATCAAAATCTTGCTATGTGCCTTCAAGTTGATTCTGATTTATGGTGACCCCATCCTAGGGTTTTCTTAGTAAGATTTATTCAGCAGGAGCTTGCCTTTGCCTTCCTCTGAGGTTGAGAGACTGTGACTTGCCCAAACTCATTCAGTGGGTTTCTATGGCTGAGAGGAAATTTGAACTCTTGTCTCCCAGAATCCTAATTCAACACTCAAAGCACTACATCACATTGGCAGTCATTTCCCAACCTCTGAAAAGGGCTGCAACTACACTACAGATCAAAATAGGTTTGACTCCACTTTAAGTGTTATGGCTCCATGCAATGGAATCCTGGAACCTGTAGATTGTTGTGGTACCAGAGCTCTCTCTGACACATAAAACTATATATCTCACAAAACTACAAATCCTAAAAATCCATTGCATGGAGCCATGGCAATTAAAGCAGTGTCAAACTGCATTAATTCTTCAGTGTAGATGCAGCCTCGAGGAAATAATGGAGTTTGATAAAGTGCTGTAGCTTCACCTTATGGAAACCTTGGATTTTTAATTTATAAGTTCTTTAGCCTTCTCTGCCAAAGAAGGCTGGTGCCTCACAAAACTACAAGTCCCAGGATTCTGTAGGATGGAGCCATGGCAGTTAAAGTGGTGTAGCATTATTTCTACAGTGTAGATGCACCCTCAGATTCAGGCCTATATCCAAGAAAGTTCAGACCTGGGAAGCAATCCAAAGTGTGTGTGTGTGTGTGTGTGTGTGTGTATTCATTTAACATCTAAAAACCATCCACCTGCATTTCCTTTGCTTTCTGAACAATACAACCTTACCCCATTTCTTGAACATGTGCATAGATTTGTTTGTTAATAGACCTTTGCTGAGATACCCTGATATAAGTTAGGAATCATTGATGCCTCCTCCCCAATCTTGTTTATATCTCACAGCTGTGCCACATTAATGTATTTTTCTCGGTGTGTTTTCTGCCATCGATGTAGCACTAACGAGACTGGTAGTTAGGAGAACATACTGAGTTTGAGTTACCATTTCCATGTTTGTCACCTGCAAGAAGAATTTGGAAAATTTTTTCCTTGAAAAATAAATGCATGCCCTGGAGCCTCAATTTTATTTTATTTCTGCAAAGTACTAAATGCTAAACAATTCCAGTGCTTGTATTAAGCCACACTTTAATAGCGACATGCATTACAGAGCTACCCACAATGCATTCAGACTGCTCTACCTGTACCAGAGTATATTTAGCACCATAGTTCAAAGCTTTGTAACATGCCAACATGCAATTTAAATCCTTCGCTCCAAATGTCGACAGTGAGGTGATTTCCTGCCATCCTGAGTATCATTTTCCTGAAGCTGTAAAAGTTACACCGTTGGGCTTATCTCGTCTCTCTCCTTTCCAAACATGGCACACACATCATCCCCACAAATGATCAAGAACCTGGCCACACACACTTCTGCAAAAATCCCTGGGAGTTTCTGATTCATATTTCAAAAATTATATAGACGGCAGCCCTTTGTGAAGAAGGGAGGGTATATTAATGGAGGCTTGGGATTTTGTTTCTGCCAAAGCTGCCAGCTCAGCTGGAGAAACAGCAATCTGGGAGGAGCTTTTCAACTGGCACAGTAAGACTTGCCAGAATTAACGTTAGTTAACACCACTGCCACTAATGTGACTTTTACAGAAAGTCACATTAGCTTCTTCCAAACCCAGCTGAAAGCTACTACACGATAGGGACTAAAGCTGCCTATCCTGTATATACTAACCCCGGAATAGGTCCCTGAACTCTGTCTGATTTACTCCCAAGTAAAGAAAAGACTGTGTTATGGAACCCCACCATTAAGACTACATCTCTCGCTACAAAATTTGTACCTCCTCTAAAGAAATCTAGCCAACCCCATGATAGGGTTGCCTCTGGATCGCCATAAATCAGAAACAACTTAAAGGCACACAACAACCACCATAATAACACACATTGCCTATTGACTACCAAAGCTGGCTGCTCAGCGGGAGAAACAAGAGTTTGGGAGTAG